CACAGGTACCTATACGCCCGCGAGAACGCACGCACGCACATAACAGATAGCTATATACGCGCGCGAGCACGCATGCACATAACAGGTACCTATACGCCCGCGAGAACGCACTCACGCACATAACAGATAGCTATATACGCGCGCGAGCACGCATGCACATAACAGGTACCTATACGCCCGCGAGAACGCACGCACGCACATAACAGATAGCTATATACGCGCGCGAGCACGCATGCACATAACAGGTACCTATACGCCCGCGAGAACGCACGCGCGCACATAACAGATTATTAACCCGCGCCAGTCGGCAAATTTTCACGTCTCTATATCTTAGTGAACGGAAAACCCTTATTATAACGGATCACATGCATCACGTTGTTGTATGAAATAGTAACCCAAATTACGTCTGTCAGTCAATTTTCAAGTCTGTACGAAGATTATTAACCGAGAATAAGCAATTTTTTTAAGAAATGACGGCGGCCATTTTGAATTCAAGATGGTGGCCGTAAACGCCATTGGATCACATGCATCACGTTGTTGTATGAAACAGTAACCCAAATTACGTCTGTCAGTAAATTTTCAAGTCTGTACGAAGATTATTAACCGAGATATAGCTATTTTTTAAGAAATGACGGCGGCCATTTTTAAATTCAAGATGGCGGCCGAAGTTGTAGTTGGATCGCGTGTGTCCTGCTTTTAAATGAAAGAGCTTACAAAAGTATGCAATTGTACCAATTTTCATACTTTTTTCACAATTTGAACGATTTTTTTCTAATCTACTGTACTATTAGTAAATTTTAATATAGTGCTGTAGTATTCTTGGTAATTTAAGTATAAATAGAAAAACTGTGTAGAATTAGAAAAACAAGTAAATAATGACACCCTATAGCCACGTCACTTTGTTTCTGAATAGTTTTTACGCAAACACCTCAAACTGTTTCTCGATAATTTTGCCTGAAATTATTACAAATACCTTGAACACATGCGTGAATATGTTATACAAGTGTATGTACACGAAAGTCTCTATTCATACATGTAATGCGTTGGGTTTTTCTGTTCTGTAGACACTGTTCTGGTGGTCGACATGGAGCAGCCAGCAAAATGGACGGCGCTGTCCGACATTCTCAAGGAGATAGATGGTGAGAACAAGATGGCCGACACCGGTGCTCAGGAGCTGGGAGAGGTTCTTGTCTGCACCGAGGATGATGTAATAGCAGAGCAGCTTCGTGAGGTGAGCCAGAGATCTTATATAGGGGGTGGAGAGGCATCAGCTATGTCAAAGAGAACAGAAGGCACTGTGGAATGAATGACATGTGGTATACTTGGTTCTGAAGAAATGGGATGAGATTGCAATGCAGGATATATTATTCAAGGATGACAATTCATGCTCTGTGCTTAAAAGCTGCAGTGGTGAAGGTAGAGTCCCAGCAACTTGATGGAGTATGTACACGTGTTTCAGCTTGTTGAGATTCGAAGATACGTTGCGTATTATCTGATGCATACGTAGTGGATCTATTTCATCTCGTGTTGCGATTTCTGCGTGCAGGAGATAGTGAGCTATGGTTTGTATTCTGTTTTTTTACGATAGTATCTGGAAAACGGAGCACAATCCGTTCTGACACGGCTGTATAACAGCACGATTGCTGCCAAGCAGGGAAAGCCACCGCTGTCCCTCGGTGATCAGGTGAGACGGCGTGTGTGGTTGCACATGCATTCGTGCATGCTCGATGTCAGGAGAATGGTGGTGCTGGTGTTAGTGGTGGTGATGGCTGTGGTTGTTGTAACAGCAGCTCAAGTCATGCTGGTGAAGGTGAGGAGGATACTTATGGTGGTGATGGTGATAATAATTAAACGATAATGATGATAACGGTGCTGCTGCTGATAGCAAAGACGATGACAACAATGAAGATGGCATCTAGTTTTGTTGTTCAACTGGTTAATATACTCACGTGGCAAGATATTTGCTGTCTGTTTCATGTGCTCCATTTCCAAAGAGCAGTAACCTTATGAAATATCAGCAGTAAATAATCTCGGATTGATTTGAGAATATTAACTCATGGAAATATGTTTATATGTGTGTATGTACTCTGCAGAAAAATGGAGGAAAATACAAGGGAAAGTCTTCCTCCAAAGCAAAGGCCAAGAACACCCATAACCCAATTTTACCAGATATATTGGATGACACAGAAGAAATACAGTCGAGTGTTTCTGGTGATGACAAGAAAGAACAAGAGAATGCTAGCTGTTACTATAAAATTCTGTCTAGTCCAATTGTCATTATTCACCCACTTCATGGTAACAGTGACCCGTACAGCCTCAGCCGTGTTCTACACCAGGTGGAGCCACGGTTTGTGGTATTATATGATATTGATCTGGCATTCATCAGGCAATTGGAAGTCTACAAAGCGGCAAGGCCAAATATGGCTTTGCGCGTTTACTTCATGATGTACGCTGACTCCACGGATGAGCAACGCTACCTCACCATGCTACGCAAGGAGAAGGAAGCATTTGAGTTTCTCATCAGAGAGAAGGCAGTGAGTATACGACCATTTATTTGTTACAGCTGTCAGAGATTTTCTTGGATGTAAATTTTTGGAATCGTTGCATCGTTTTCTATTTTTAAGCGTTCGTTGTCATCACCAAGTGCTTATGCATCTAAACATCTGCTGGTAAATGGGAATCGATTATTGACTGTCTTCACTAATCCTGACACTGTTGTCAGTCGATGGTCATACCGGAGGAATACGACGGGAAATCGAGCAATAACCCGATCCTCGAACGAGGCGTTAAGTCGGCCAATCAGACAGTGAGCACGAGAAAAGGTGGCGCCTCGCAGCAGCCGGTGGAGAGCGACGTACGACAGAAGATCCTCGTCGACATGAGAGAGTTCCGCAGCGAGCTGCCGTCACTGCTGCACCGGCGTGACATTGACATCGTGCCACTCACGATAGAGGTGATCGCTGATGCTCTGCCTCATGCTTAATTCCTATAGCGGCGTTGCATAACCATGATATTCTGATGCTCACGCAGTGGTTAGCACGTGTGTCTCTTCGTCACGTTTGCATCTGGGCAGAAAGGGGTCAGCCGGAAATGCAGTGAAGGATAGAATAAATGTGAATGCTATTCGAGAAATTCTGGTGAACTGAAACTGAGAAAGCTCTATCAGCTAGACATGTGCGAACAAACGGAGAATGGTGATGCAAGTTCATCGAGGTCATTTTAAATAAACTGTGATAAACACTAAACATCATAATAACTTTTGGTACCAATGAGCGATGATTGTGATCTGTTTTAAGTAATGTTTCCATGTGCAGGTTGGTGATTATATTCTGACACCAGAGGTTTGCGTGGAGAGGAAAAGCGTGAGTGACCTAATCGGGTCACTTAACAATGGCCGCCTCTACAACCAATGTTTAGCGATGTCTCGCCACTACAAGCGACCTGTGCTGCTCATCGAGTTTGATCAGAACAAGCCATTCTCCTTACAGGTTTTTATCAGCTGCCTTTGCAGAATTTATATCAAAGTGGGAAAGGTTCTGGCCCCCCAGTGACGCCTCTGCATAATGTGGCACTTAAGTGCCGTCTGGGCGAATTTGTCGAAGTATGGCAGCAGCTTTTATTCCTGAGCTTGTGTTCACTCGCGTAGTGGGGTAATGTTGATTGGGACTGGCACACGTAATATGTCGTAATGAATATACAGTCCGGCTTTGCTGCACGTTTGTCTGTAATCCACAGATCATGTAAATGCCAATCAATTGGTGCCACGTTACATTAGGTATCCATTCGTTGCTTTCAAATTTCGTGTCTCTACTCTCAGTTTCAGGGCAAATCATCGACAATGTCTAATGACATCCAGTCCAGTGACACACTGTCAAAGCTGACACTACTAACGCTTCACTTTCCCTTGCTAAGAATTCTGTGGTGCGCCAGCCCCTATGCCACAGCTGAAATATTTGGAGAACTCAAGGTAACCAGCCATTCTTACAACTGCATTCTCCAAAATTGACTTGTTTTGTAGGCTTCTCTGCTATAAGTGGAACCAAAGGTTATCCTAACTGGCACGTTTATTCTAAAAATCGATTTTTGTCATGTGGGCTCCACTATATACTTTTTCCACTATATGCAAAAGAAAAGGTTATCTGCCTCGTATCTTTATCGTCGAGAATTATTTCTATTGCGTAGGGTCATCAGGTTTCATATTAGCTAGGGGTGGGACAATACGGGTAGCTCACGATATATGATCCTTAGCATGATACTGTCAGGAGAAACTACCGAACAAGCTATACACTCAATCGGAACTCTGCTGATTGTGTGATCGCTAAAAAATTTGGATTATGGAATACTTAGTAAACAAGTGCTATGGATTTTCAAAGGGTCTTATGCTTATTTTTTTTATTTTTTTCCATAATCGTCCCACCCATAGTACTAGTGTAACAATTATGTGGATGCCAATTGTATTTTAAATAGTATATGTCATAGTGCTCTACGTTTTTCTCTAGTCCTATGTGGGTTCATCTTTCTCTCTAAATTTTGCATGCAGGTGGATAAAGAGCAACCAGATGAAGCAGCTGCAAAGGCCATCACAGTAGCATCCTGTGAGTTCTCATTACCTGGTATGGACCGGTTTAACCATAATACCCAGGTAAGCTCATCATAGCATTGGCTAAATGGCCTGCCTTCACTAGTGTCTATGCTTTGTTTGATGTTATGGAAACGGGTGGTACAGTTAAAGAATTTGTGTATTGAGAGCATGTTTGTGAATTGAGCTTCAGTTCCTCTTCCAGGAGTCAGGTAATTGGGAAGTCATTAAATATGTAGTAAAATGTTGATAAATATATAAAGTGCATGATTAATGTCTAATGCATATACATATCATCAGGGATTAATAATGACAAACTGAATGACTGAAATGAATGAATGACTGAATGAATGAAATGACTGACTGAATGAATGAATGAATGAATGAATGACTGAAACAATAATGACAATTTGTCATTATTAACCCCTGATATCATGAATGCGTCACGTCAAATGTGGCCATTTCAAATCTTGTGCGTCCATCAATTCTCTAGGACTTTGTCATGAAGCTGCCTGGTGTGAGTTCTAAGAACTACCGACAGCTACTGTCTAAAGTTCGTGATCTTGCCGAACTTGTCTCGCTGACTGAAGAGAGACTCGGGGAGATTCTTGACAACAAAGCATTTGGCAAACAACTGTATGAGTTTATCCATAAAGAGAAGGAGGAATCCAAGACAAAAGGCAAATCTTCCTTCCATAGCAGGAGATGGAGGAGATAGCATACGTTCTGCATTATTTTATTTTAAAACAGTGTAAGATTTATCTATCTATGTGTGGATTCTGTCTGTATCTATCTATAAATGATCTACGATGATAGTCATCGTATTTCCTCAATTGTATTTTGCCCTGAACTTATACTCACTACCTGTGATATCTGCATTGTATAGAGGTTTTTCGAATTAATTGTGTGTTTGAATGTGATTGTAAATTTTTATTTAATTAAACACATCAGAAAGTTTATCTCGTGGCTTAAAGGTTTGTGCACTACCCTTACTAGTACTTTAAAAGACCTGGAATTCCCATTAGGCCAAGTTGAAACCCTCACTAACCAGCATATACCAATGCAAGATTTTATTACCTATGTGAGCGGGATCCAAAGAGATAACCATATTAGATGAATATTAACTGAACAATAAATGCAATTTTATAGTAATCTATATATTGTCTGCAGACTATTAAGTTTAAAGTTGGCGTTCACATGGAGTTTGGCGTATCGGTGGTTGCATCCATTTTTTCCAAAGGGTGTATCTGTTGAGGGCGTGCGAGACGGAAAGTGTGAAATGGGGGAATTCTTCCTCTCAGAAAATTTCGGTACACATTTTGAGTTCATTTATACAGCCTTTATTTCCGAGCATAATTCATTTTAACTCGAACCTTTTCTCAAAGTGTTAAAGAGTGTTTGTATGATTTCGTAGTTATGTTAGAAATGCAGCTCTTCGCAATGCTGTTTCCATGTTTGTATAATGCACGGAGGTTTTATAAGGGACAGTGGGCACATTTAAATTATTCGCTTGTACCTGCATAAGCAACGATTAGGTCTTTCATCTGTGTCTGCGCAATCGTGCCGCAAAGAAGAATTCGTCTTGCGATATTCGTACACGTAATAATAGTCACATTGTGCACTGAAAGGCCATTTCCTTGCCGCAATTTGAGAGCAATGGTTTTAGGAAAGATTAAATAATTGACAACTCATGGGATTTCACGCACCACGTCGGAAACTTTTTTGCTGCGGCGATTACCGTAATTCCTACTGATGTGCAACGAGTGGCCTCTCGGCTATGTTTCGACATTCAAGGAAAAGGCTTTGATCTTTCCATGCATTGAGTAAATGCGCAGAAGGCGGTAGCTGGTGAATGTGATAACACGTGTTCACAATTTCACGATTTCAAAGCAAAATCAAAACTCACTTTTGAAAAGATCAACGTAGATTAAATGGAATGATTTTAATTTCCTCCTTATATTGTGGCGTTGTATTGTTGCTCTTTGTATTGTGGCGTTGTGTTGTTGCTCCTTGTTTTGTGGCGTTCTGTTGTTGCCCTTTGTTTTGTGGTGTTGTGTTGTTGCTCCTTGTATTGTGGCGTTTATCCATCTGGGTAGGGGCTCATTCCCCCGGTGTAACAGCAGGTCTTTATAACAACAGTTAGCAGTAGCGATATCGACGTTATAGTAACTATGTTGAATCGAAAGAAACGCCACGCGTAGGCGGAACTATGCAGCCAATCCGTGCAGTGGTTCAGTTTCAAAAATAAACGTAGATATTTTATTCCGATGGCAGCCTCTGGTCACAAACATAGCAGTGATTACAGCGTTAACGTTTTTTTTGTCTGGACGTCTATACGTCCGAACAAAATATGTAAACACTGCCATATCGTTGCTGTGTTTACACCGAATTTACTACGTACGCTAAATTATACAATCATCATTAATGTAGTAAACTAATTTAATATGCAATAAACTAGCTACAAATATCTTGTGGCTATGCTAAGGTAGTATAGATAAATATGTGTAGTTAATACCAGCGGTTCGTACGCGAATAATATATGCCCTGCGTCAACGCATTGAGCTATACTGGGTGAGTCGATTTATTATAACATAACGGGGAATAAAAACGGTTCAAACATGCATATAAAGCGAACACGCGCGTGTGATAATTTCAGTTGTCACCTATAAAGAGTATAACCTATTCGTGATTTGTAAAAGAGGTTATCTAAAGCATATATAATTAATAATTAGTCCAGATCAAAAACTTTAGACAATATTAATTATTTATTATATTATAGAGCGTAGGCCCCTATTTAGATTTATTATAGAGCGTAATCGCTCATGAATGGCAATCTACGTTTTAAATTAATTAACGTAAATGACTATGTACGGTGCGATTGGAAATTATAAAATATAAATACGCTCTATATTATAATAAATAATTACCTAATATTGGCTAACGTATTTGACCTGTACTAATCACTAATTATATATACTGTATGCTTTAGATCATTTATTTTACAAATCGCGAATAGGTTATGCTCTTTATAGGTGACAACTGAAATTATCACACGCGCGTGTTCGCTTTATATGCATGTTTGAATCGTTTTTTTTTATCCCGGGTTATGTTATAATGGATCGACTCACCCAGTATAGCTCAATGCGTTGACGCGGGGCATTTATTATATATATGTGCCATGTATATTGGCTGCTAGGATACATAATATAACGATACTAAATAATATATTAAAGGTCTTAAAGTAGTTTGCAGGGTATTGAATTTAAATGCTTATTCATCGAGTTTTCCTCTTACAGAAATTTTCCACCAACTTTATCATCAGTAAAGTAAATTACATCGTTATCAGGGTATCAGGACAAATACCCCCCGGACAATCACCCCCCGGATATTTACCCCCATGCCATTCACCTCCCGGACAATTACCCCCGGACAATTAGACAATCACCCCCGGACATTTACCCCTCGGACAATTACCCCCCGGACATTTACCCCCCTCCACCACCTTCTCCTCATCCACCTCCTCTCCTCCTCCTCCTCCTCCTCTCCTCCGCCTTCCCTCCTCCTCCACCTTCTCCCCCTTCTCCTCCTCCACCATCTTCTCCCCACCTTCTCCCCCTCCTCCTCTGCCACCTTCTTTCCTTCTCCTCGACCTCCTCCCTTTATCACTGTTCAACAATGAATAATAAACAACAAGTGAGTAATTGTCCGGGGGTAAATGTCCGGGGGGTGAATGGCATGGGGGGTAATTGTCCTAGAACCGTTATCAGTACCTGACCGTTAACCCCCCGCCCCAGCTTAAAGTCACTCACCTTCCCTCAGTTGCGTTTTTCGTTGCAGCGGTGGTACTACATATCAGTACGGTGGCCGAGTGGTTAAGGCGTTGGACTTAAGTTCCAATGGACGTATGTCCGCATGGGTTCGAACCCCATCCGTACTAAACAATTTTTGTGGCTTTCAAAGCGGAAAAGTTTTCAGCTGGTTACTACAAAACTGGAAAGGGAGAGTAATTTATCATCGGCTCTCTATACCCCACGAATTCCTAGGCATTTATGGCATATGGATGCCTTTGTGTTGTCTGTCATACCGGAGCGAATGGGAACGGGCTCACATCCTAGAACTGAATAGACCAGTATAGTGGTATGCAATTAACGTGCAAGGCCTTCCGTCAGCGAAATCGAAAGGTATAATGGCAATAGAAATACAAACGCGGCGGCACTTACGTATCCTGGTGACATCAAGTATACAGATAACTCGGTTTCTGTAAGTACTCGTTAATTATTTATGAACGCGTATCGATTTACACGCCACTGGAAAATAGTAGGAGCATTCGTTATACCGCTAACATTGGGCTGCATATGAACAGGCATGCGCACGTGTATGAATGCGCTTATTTATATATAGAGAGAGCATGTATAAGACTGTGCGCATACATGAGATCAAATTGGGTTTGTCGAGTAAATATTTCATACATTAGTCACCCGTAAATCCAATTTAAAATCAATAGGCGCTTCGACGTGCATCTTTCTCGCTTGATGTATAGCGCAATTCCAAGCACTCCAGCTGCCCACGCGTCAAGTCAATCCGTTTACCGTAGGCCCTACCATCGATATAATATACATCGCACGCATATAGTACATATAACTGCATTGATGGAAATTCTGTGGGATAACTAGGGAATTGTTAGCTCGGATAATGACGCCATCGCGGCCATGGGCTTCGCACGGAGACTGTAATGGTAGAGGAGTGCGGGGTGGGTGGAGGCAGTCATTACTATTTTATTCTCCACATGGAATAGTGTCAGTGTAGTATAGCCGACTGCGCCTAACACGCGACGTATTTAGCTATGAAAGGCGCGTATGGATTATAACAAATGCGTTCCTATATTTTTTCTATAGAGGAATGGGAACTGTGAACGGGCGCGCGCGTGCGTATGCGTGTCTGCATGTTTGCGCAGTTGTGTGTGTGCGCGCGTGTATATGTTAGCGCAAGAGAGAGAGAGCGAGAGAGAGAGAGAGAGCGCGAGAGAGAGAGAG